TACACAAAATTTTGCACGTGAATGTTTTATAGCAGCTTTCCTAACTGCCAAAACTTGGAAGTAACCAACACATACTTCAGTAAGTGAATGGATAAGTAAACTGTGGTACATCCCTAATGGAATATCACTCAACAATCAAAATAAATTATCTGTCAAGCTAAGAAAAGACAAGGATTATGATCTGGGCAGCTAACTACAAGGTCAGAAGTTCAGATCTACCAGGAAAAGAGGAGGCTTTCTGCTCCCGTAAAGATTTAAAGCCTTGGAAACCCTATGCAGGGTCACTATGAGTCGGAATCACTTGGTGGCACACACCCACCATGTACTATATGATTCCAATTATATGACATTCTAGAAAAGGCAAAACTACAGAGACAGTAAACATATCAGTAGTTGCCAGGGTTCAGGGAAAAGAGAGTTGAAGAGGTGGAGCAGAGTTCATTTTTAGATCAATGACTATTCTGTAGATACTTACAATGGTGAATCTGTGACATTATGCATTTGTCAAAATTCATAAGAGTGTACAACACAAAGGATGATGAACCCCAATGTAAACTTCAGATCATAGATTAGAAAATATTGATTCATCAATTGTCAAATGTTTCACAGGAATTAAAGATGTGAGTAACAGGGAAAATTGTGGAGGTTGAGGAATTTTTTCCTTTCTTTTTTTTGTTATCCTGGTGTGGTGCTGTAGGATCAACACTGGATTGCTAATTGAAAGGTTGGCAGTTCAAACCCATCAGCTGCTCTTTGGAAACCCTGTACAGGGTTACTATGGGTTGGAACCGACTTGACGGCACAACTACGACAGTGACAGTCTTGTCTAACCTAACAAATACAGGACACGTTTGCCCTGTAGTTTATATATTACATTTTCCCCATTTTTGAAAGGCCTGATTATAAAAATAAACTCGAATAGGCAATTAATAAAATATATCTAGCAAATGAATATATGGAAAAGTACCTAACCTCAAAAGTAATTAGGAAAATACAAAGTGAAATAATAGTGCTATATCATCTTAATTTGATCCATACATTTAGTGAAAACTTTAAAGACTGGACACAATATCAGTAGAGGTTTGGGGAATAAATTCTGTCGTACACTGTTCATGAGAGTGTTAATTGGTAGAGTCACTTTGTAAAGAAACTGTGCAGAACACATTAGAATTTTACAGTTGGATTCCCATTGGTATAGTAGCTTTATTTCTTGTTTTTCATTTAAGAAATACTTCCATAATATGAATATCTCTAATCCTACACCAACTACCTCCAGGTTCCTAATTCTTTGATTACATCACAAGGTTGGGTTTCTAGTTGTTGTTATTGTTAAGTGCTGTCATAGAGACCCTGTATAGGATTTCTGAGGAGTGTCTGGTAGGTTTGAACATCTGATCTTGCAGCTCAAACTGACCTTGTGGTCCAGAACATTATCCTGCAAACACAACCAAAATAACTTGCCTTTTGCTTTCCTCTTCCCGATATCATGGAGTCCTGGTGTGGCCCTGTGGGTTAATGCACTGGACTGCAAGGTTGGTTTGAATTGCAAGGTCGGCGGTTCAATCTCACCAGCGGCTCCTTGGACACCCTATACAGGGTTGCTATGAGTTGGAACCGACTCAATAGCACGTAACAACAACCTCATGTCATCTTGTCTACTTTCCTACCCTAACATTTTTGTTGTTGATTTTATTGGTATTGCATTATACTTACAAATTAATTTATGGATAATTGATATGTGGTATTGAGTCTTTTTCTTAAACCAAATAATATACCTCTCTGTTTATTCTACTCTTCTTTTATACCTTAAACAGGATTTTAAGGTTTTTTTTCCATGTAACTTTACACATGTTTCTTCAATAATCACCATTTATTTTTATTTGCACCATAATTGGTGCAGGGGGAAAAGGGATGGTTTTCTGAATTCTAGAAGAATCTGAAAAGACTTTAATGCTGGTTGAATGAAATATGACAGCTTCAGTATGTCATGGTCAGTAAGTGAAACATTACAAGGTCAAACTAAAATTCAATCTTCTATAGAAAAAATAAAATGAGTAAGTTCTATCTGTATTTTGTATATCAAATAAGTAAACATTACATGCTTAAGGTTAAGGTTTTCATAGAATGGTAAAGTAGAAACTCTAAGGAAACCTTCTTGCAAACATAAATTCGATTTCATGAAACCTGAAAATAAATCATATTTTCCTCAATATGGCTTATATTATATTTAGTGTCTTTAAGGTATCTAGTTTATATTCTCCAAACTTCTTTATATAATTACAAATGTAAGCTGAAGTGTTTTGTATTCTCAAATCACTTGATCAGTGCGTCACAATGAAACTGAAATTTTTTATGTTTGGGAGAGACAAACAAAACAAAACCCCACAGTTAGATAATTACACATAGTAAGGAAACACACTTGAAGAGGTAACTATGAACACGTAAGATGGGACAAAAGTAAATATATATATAAAATGTAAAACTAATAAAAACTAAAGTAAGCACAAGGGTAAGTACAATGCAAAATTCACACCACTATTACGTATCTTAAAAAAATAAAAAAAATCCCCCTAAGCAAAGCACTGAATCTTTAAAGCAATTTTGCCCTTCCAGCTAATTTCTGCTTTCCTCGCTAGCCTCGTTCATCTTAATCCCCCAGCACTGGGAATCTCTTTTGGAAAGAAGAGTATTTTTGTGTTAAACGTGGAAAGGCATTGACTTAAATTAACCTTTGTGAGATTCTGATTTTGGCTGGCGATTTTAGCGGAAACCCAAGACAGTCGACAGTATAATACAAAGCTCTTAACAAACGTATATTGACACTAAAACTTCTAGGGAGTCCAATACACTAGTGGAGGGTGACGTTTCAGTTATTCTTAGGTCTCCTGTAACACCTGGAACTGATATCATTACGTATCATTACGGGTTCTTTAAGCGATCTCAGAGCTGCGCATGTTCTACAGATGAAACTCTTCCACTTTCCGTAGTTGGAGATCTTGGTTTGTTTACTAATTTACGACTGTCGTAAACTTGGATTTCCTGACGGCTTCCTAGCTTTACGACGACTACAACTATGGCGGCTGCCAGTGGCAGATTTGAAAGTGAGAGAAGTATAGAAGAGCGTAAAGAACAAACCCGGATTGCCAGGGCCGAAGTGTTGCGCCAGGTACCTCTATTTTGAGGCTTTTGGGATTTCTTTAAAGTTATGGGAGTGGAGAGTTCCCGAAAGCTAGGCCTTCTGCTTCCTTGACCCCTGCACACTCTTAAGCAACTCATCTTATCTGGATGGGATCTTCCTTTGGGATACACCCAAAGTCTTAAGTATCTCCCTCCTTCTGGAGGCTCTGGCTGGCTCCTTTGCTGTTATTGTTCATCCCCCGCTCAGGGATATCTGCTCCTCTTCCTCTTAGTTTTCTTACCTTTTAAATCATCACTTCTTGATTTTTTTTGTCTCCTCGATTGCACAGTCGTAGCAAGTCTGCTACAGTGTCTTACTGACTTAGTTCTTGCTCCTGTTGTATTTGTTAGGAATCTTGAAACCATTTTCATTTTGAGGATCACATATAAAAAACATAGTTTAGACTGTGTTTGAGGACTGTATTTGACTATTTCAGTCTCTTGTCTTGGTGTCAATTTCAGACTTAATGTAAGCCCTTACAGATCCAAACAAGGATTGATACTAAAACCCCAGAAAACTTAGTCCCTGGAAAAAGATTGAGAAACTCATTAAAATTGAGCTGCATAGAGGTAACAAGAGTGGAGGAGGTATACTGTATTGAATTATCTAACAAGCTGTTCAGGATATTTGGTAATGATTTAGAAAACGTGTAGTAGGTGAACAACGTAGAGTACAAGTAAGAAGACAAAGTTTTGTTTGTTTTATGAAAGAAGTTTTAAATTGTTTAAATGCAAATGAGGAGTCAGCATAGAAGAAAAGGTAAAGGATATCGGAAGGGGAGGAGATAATGACTACAGCCCGATTTTAAAGTGGAAGAGTAAGCAGACTCTTGCACACGTGAAAGGTTGGTCTTGCTCCCTGACATAAACATATGTAAGGTGTATGAATAGGAAACATTTTTCATCTTTGACTCTGATCTTTTCAAGCCGTTTGGAGGTTGTGTGCTGTGGCGAGGTGGTGGGTGGTGGTGTGCCATGAAGTAGGTTGCAATTCATTGAGACTATGTGTACAGTTCCCAAGGCTGTAAATCTTCACGGGAACAGAAAAGAAAGCCTCATCTTTTCTGTGGAGTCCTGGTGTGGCGCTGTGGGTTAATGCACCATATTGCAAAGCTGTTTGAACTGCAAGGTTGACGGTTCAAGCTCACCAGCTGCTCCTTGGAAACCCTATACAGGGTCGCTATGGGTCGGAATCAACTTGACGGCTGGTAGTTTCAAAGTGCTGACTTTTGGTTAACAGCCCAGCTTGTAACCCATTATGCTACCAGGGCTCCTTGTGAAAAGAGTTTACTCATTGATATTTAAATATTAATGTTTTTTGAGATTTTGCTGAAACTTGTTGAATATTGTTGTCAAGTAAAAGAGAAGGATTTATTTTTGTAAGAATAGGTAGTAACTCAGCAGTTCTGATATGACAACTGGATAGCAACCTGTTAGATTGCATTGTTGAAAAGAAACTTTGAAAATTACCTACTCATTTGTGTGCAGATGAGAATTGCCTTAAGAACTGACATTTGTTTGCAACATTCATATTAGAATTACCTTAAGTGGTTTAAAAAAATTATTTTGTTGTAATTCGTTTACATTTGTGGGATTTTCTTACTTTTGCTGGTGTATAATAAAAATGATTCTCATTCACAAATGTTGGAAGAAGAAAACTTCCAGTGTGCTCTTGATATTTGAAGAAAAAAAGATTCCAAACTTGTAAATAAGGTAAAAAAAAAAAAAAAAGACTATTCCCTGCCCCCCTTTAATTTATACTAAGGTTGTCTAATAGGCAATGCCTAGGACTCCTTGTGTGGCACTGTAGGATAAGCATTGGACTTCAAACCACAAGGTTGGTGGTTCAAACCCACCAGCTGTTCCTCAAAAGTTCTATACAGGCTCACTGTAAGTCTGAACTGACACCACAGCATTTAACAACAACAATATACCTAGGTATAAGGAGCACTGGAAGTGGAGTAAGTTGGGCTGCTAGCCGCAAGGTCAGCAGTTCAAATCTACTAGCTGCTCTGTGGGAGAAACCTGAGGCTTTCTGTATCTGTAAAGATTTACAGCCTTGGAAATCCTACACGGTAGCCATGAGTTAGAACTGACTCAATGGCACATCACTACCACCACCACCACCATATGTTAGTGTGTAGTTAGTCGTCCTGGTGAGTTGCTGTAGGATGAGCACTGAGCTCGTAATTGCAAGGTTGGCGGTTCATACCCACCAGCTGCTCTTTGGAAACTCTGTACATGGTTGTTATGAGTTGGAACTGACTTGACGGCACTTAACAACAACATGTAGGTAGAGGAGTGAGATGGCACTGTAGGATAAGTACTGGACTACAAACCACAAGGTTTGCGGTTCGAGTTCACCAGCTACTCCACAGGAAAAGCATGAGACTTTCTGCTCCCGCAAAGATTTAAAGCCTTTGAAACCCTGTATAGGGTTGCTATGAGTCAGAACAAACTCCACATCATTTATTTAATGATTATTATTTGAACTTTTTATTGTGAATTGACTTAAGGTTTACAGACAGGATCATTGGCTGTACATTCAACAAATCATGTACCATGTTTCATCTCAATGATTACAATCCCCTCATGTAACAAGTTATCCCACTTTCTTCCTGTGGTTCCTGTTTGCATTCCACCCACCGTCCTATCCCTTCTCAAATTTGTCCTTAGGAAAATGTTGCCCTTTTGCTTTTGAATGATTGACCATACCTTTCTAGTGTTGTTGTCCTCCCTATTTATCTGTTGTTGTTGTTATGTGCGGTGGAGTCGGTTCCGACTCATAGCCACCCTGTACAGGGTTTCCAAGGCTTAAATTTTTACGGGAGCAGAAAGCCTCATCTTTCTCCCGCAGAACAGCTGGTAGTTTCGAACTGCTGACCATGAGATTAGCAGCCCGATTCGTAACCACTACGCTACCAGAGCTTCTTCCCTATATACCTATGTAGGGAAAATTGGCCCATAAGGGTAAATTCCTTTCCAGGACTGAAGAGTGGTGAAGGGCCATAGTCTCAGGTTCAGCCAGTCTCTTTCTGATCAGTAAACATGGTCTTTTTTTTTTTTAATTAAATAAGTTTGAATTTTGTTACACATTTTCTCACATTCTATCTGGGACCTTCGAATGTGATCTCTTCCAGAGCAGTTGGTAGTAGTAGCTGCACACCATTTAGTTCTTCTGGTCTCAGCGTCAGGGAGACTGATGTTCACAAGTTCTGTTAGTCCACTGGACTAATTGATTTCAAGCCTCTTCATTTCTTATCGTTTCTTCTTTCTTCCACACACAGAGAGACCAATAGTTGTACGGTAGATGACTGCTCATGAGCTTTCTAGCTATCAGATGCCACTCAGCCAAGTAGAAAATTGCCTTTGTCTATGATATACCAATTGATCATGGTGTGCTCTAAGACTATGGTCCTGAGTCCCCAGGCACAGTAAGTCATTGTCTTAAGATGTTTGATAATATCTAGAAAGTTTTCCTCATTTTGCCCACTGTGTACTCCACCGCACTCATGGTTGTGTTTTCAGGAAAGGTTGATGCTCATGTACAAGGAATCTTTCAAACTCATATACTTGAGGATATATAATTAATATATATTTAAATATATATCCCACTCTTCCTCCCTTACCCATTCAGTCCATGGTTCAATTCAAGTATCTATGCACAGAACACTGTTGTTCCAAGGTTATATATATAATTATTTACCTCTATCCCCTATAATCCATGCATTCCTCCTCATGTATTAATCTAGCTTCATCCTTCTTCTGCCACCCTCCCTCTTGTATATTGTCCTCCTCACCACCCAAGCTACTGTGTTTACCCTCTAGCCAGTGAATTACTCTCTCTTCCCTCTGACCCTTGATAACCATCAAATAAATTTTATTTTAGTATGAAAACCTTTTCTTAAGTTTTTATACTATGATCTCATCAATGCATGAATACTCCAGGTTCATCCATGTTATAAAGTGTTTCACAGATTCATCATTATTCTTCAACGTTGCATAATATTCCAATGTGCCTACGTACCAAAGTTTATCTGGTTTTCCATTGATAGACACTTAGGCTGTCTGTATTTTTTGCTATTGTGAATAATGCTGTGATGATCATTGGTGTGCCTATATCTGCTTGTGTCCTGGCTTGTATTTCTTAACCCCATAGCCTTTAACAACAGCATACATACGAGTATGAGTGAAAAATTATCCACATTCTGGCTGTAGAATTTATTTTCATCAACTTTTAGATAAGACAAATACATCATTTTTCAACATAATCTCCTTGCTTTTCAATACACTTTGTTCATCTGTCAAGTAGCTTTCTTATTCCCTTACTAAAAAATGTTTTAGGCTGAGCTGTGAGACACAAATGAACTGCTGTCTTCACGTCATCAGCAGAGATGAGTCTTTGCCCTCACATGGCTGCTTTCAGTGGACCAAACAGGTAAAAGTCTGATGGAGCAAGATAAGGAAGATGCTTTAGCAAAAAGCAGAGCGTCAATAGTGTGGGTAGAGGTGTATAAACATGTATTGTCATATAAGATCACAATGCCCTTGGACAGCAATCCTCTGCATTTAATCCAAAGTTTAGGCTTCAGCTTTTTAGTGAGCCTCTCACTTCAGTGAGCACTGTTTATTGTTGAACCTTTTTCCTGATAGTGTTCCAATACTGGCCCCTTCCTTGAGAATGCCAGAAAACTGTAGGCATCAATTTTCCAGCTGATGGTTGACTTTTGAACCTTGTTCTTGGTCAGTGATTGAGCATGTTTCCATTCCATACTCTGCTGTTTACTCTCAGGCTCTTAGTGATAAATCCATGTCTTGTCATTAGTAATGATTTTTTTTTTAAGTGTTTTATTGTGAATTAATGTGATAGTTTACATGGGAGACCATTAGCTTTACATTCATCCTATCGTATATCGTTTCATTGCCATGGTTACAATCCCCTCCATGCATCATCAACCAATCAAAGGGTATATACCCTGCAAGCCTGCC